CCGGCTCCCACCGGCATGACCCTGCAGCTCCTATGCAGAGGGGCCAGGGGGCTCAGAGTGCTGCAGGGTGCCGCCCCTGTACCTCCCATTGGCTGCAGTTTCTGGCCAATGGGAGCTGCGGAGCCGGCGCTTATGGCAGGAGCCCCCTCGGCCACCCCACCCCCTAGAAGCTGCAGGCTGCTGGGTGGAGCCGAGAGCCTGCCAGCCCCGCCAACCTCTTCTTCCTCCCCCCGGCCTCCCAAGCACCAGCAGGAGTCCTGGGCTGCGTGCCGCCCCCTCCCCCAGCAGAAGTCCCAGGCTGCGCACCTTGGGGCTGGGGCAGAGGGTAGGGTTGTGGGGTGGCGCTTACTTCAGAGGGGGCTCCCCGGTTCGCACTGGCATGTCTCCCTCGCTCTGTCATGCAAAGTCTTAACACAATCTTCCATTCTCTTGTATCAACAGATCAGTGCACCAACTAATCTATCACATAGTCAATCCATTGCAAAGTTATTCTGCTTTGACACAGCTGAGATCACTGTTAACACTTTGTATTCAGCTTGGACAACAGAAAGAAACGCAGAAAGGAAAGCTAGCATATTTAGTGACAAGTAGTTGTATTTTTAAAATTCTTTCATTTTCAGTGATCTGTGGTGCAATCTTGGTAATGTAGGTTATTACTGTTTGGAGTCTGAGCCTGCAAACACCTATGCATGTGCTTACCTTCACTTGCATGAGCAGTCCCAGTGGCATCTCTGCAGCTGCTCGTGTGAGTAAAGCTAAGTACATATGAAAACGTTTGCAGAGTTGGAGCCTTAAAAAAATATTTGTGCCCACACTGTCCTGGGTGCCTTCCAAACACATAGGAAGATGGTCTCTGCCAAGAATCTACAGTCTGAAAAGACCAAGAGATATGAAGGGAAGGGGATAGAGAGTTTAGCTTACAAACACTGCAATCATGACTTGTTAGTTACCTGTTTGTTCTCTTGTTGGTTAAGAAATGTGTGTGTCTGCAGCATCTGATTCTTACATTATCAGTATCTTTAAAATGTACTTCTACATACAAGAGATGAAGTTTCAGATATGTGCCAAAGCTCTGCAGTGGGTCACTGAATGGAGCCACTGAAAGGTTGGCCAAACTAGTGACCTCTTAGTTCTGTTTCCTGCTGTATTGATCTGTTTGTGAGGAGTGCAGGTACTTGGGAGTGTTGGCCGCTTTGAGAATTGATCATTGGACTAGACAGCTATTTATTTGTAAGACACACATCCAGATCTGCTGCATCAAGATGGTAGAAGTATGAATTTCTCTTTAAGCCTGAGATGTTACTCAATTTCTTTTGGACTGTGAGTTTCTGAGGGAGGGACCTCTTCATTCTGTGTCTCATACAGTGCCAAATACATTGTCAGCGCTTAAAAAATTATCTCTAACCAGGTGGCTGCCCTGATTTTAAGCTGCATTTTATATTTTCATGGAGCCTATAAAGTGGAAGTGAATCCAGTATATGTAAAAACTAATCAAAGGTTTATATGTCAGGAAGATTTTGCCATTTGAAGTGCCAGGATTCAGTTCTGAATTAATTAATATTCAACTGTATTCTGATTATAATGTATTTTGTAAAATAAAGTAAATGTAAACAGTAATTTTTTAAGTAAGATACATTCCCTGGCCCGAAACATGTACAGTGTAAATGAGACAAACACAAATCAAGAAACATCACAACAGTCCAGGAGAACTGTTTAATTTGCTTTCTTCAAAGTAGAAGGGGCACCATGGAATTTGAAAGGCCCTGAAAATGTATACTGCTTTTAAAATGTCCTTTGATAATTAAAAAATCAATAAACATGATGAGCTTTTCAAAATTAGGGTGTGTGTCCTATCACATCTGCCCTTTGACTGGGCAGCACACCTCTATTCAAGGCTGCTGGGCTGGTTGGGATTGTTTTTTCATATGCATCACAAGTTAATATCTAGATTGTTCAGCCATCTAACTGCTGTATCATTGAGCATAGTGTGGTCTTGCAGTTCACCTTCCAATCTTCTAGTTGTGCACTCCTCCATCAAGTTTTGACTATATGCATTGGTGCCCTGCAGTCATTCTTGTAAAGATTGGGCTAAACCAAATTTCTGTATTGTAGCAGCCATTCTGGCCATTCCAGGAACAGTCCAAGATTGGCATCCCAGGTTGCAAACAAATGGGTGTAAATTTGGGCTTCTGAAGTTCACCAGCATGCCTGGATTGGGATCGTTGATGCTCATGTGCTAATCCTGCTGTCCCTCTGTTTTCCTGTTTGCCATTTTTCTATTTCAAGGGGAGAGGGGGGAATGGATACGATGAGCTCTGAGTGTTTCTGGCAGCTGGAGGTGTGTTGAGGAGAACAGGAGACAGCAACCCATGTGTGGATGGCAGTTTTACTCAGCTCAGGAGCTGAGGTTTTAATGCTGTACCAGCCGTTATTTTGGAGATGGATTTTTTTTTTTTTTTATCATGGTGTGTCAGGTTGGAACACACAAACCCCCTTAGGACTGCTAACTGATGTGCCAAGAGTACTTATGCCCCTGCTTTCCCTGCCAGCTTGGGACTCCAACACCCCTGTCTTGCTGAGCCATACACGTCAGTCTGCTCCAACACAGACCCAGGGTCTGAGCCATGTGCCCCAAAGCTGCAGACTTAACTGAAAGCAACTTAAGAAGTATTCCTGTCTTTAACACTCAGATGCCCAACTCCCAATGGGTTCAAACCCCAAATAAATCCGTTTTTTACCTTGTATAAAGCTTATACAGGGTAAACTCCTAAATTGTTCGCCCTCTATGACACTGATAGAGAGAGATGCACAGCTGTTTGCCCCCCCAGGTATTAATACATACTCTGGGTTAATAAGTAAAAAGTGATTTTATTAAATACAGAAAGTAGGATTTAAGTGGTTCCAAGTAGTAACAGACAGAACAAAGTGAATTAGCAAGCAAAATAAAATAAAACACGCAAGTCTAAGTCTAGTACACTGAATACATATAAGATCTCACCCTCAGATGTTTCAATAAGTTTCTTTCACAGACTGGATGCCTTCCTAGTCTGGGCACAATCTTTTCCCCTGGTAAAGCCCTTGTTCCAGCTCAGGTGGTAGCTAGGGGATTTCTCATGATGGCCGCCCCATTTGTTCTGTTCCATTCACTTATATATCTTTTGCATAAGGTGGGAATCCTTTGTCCCTCTGGGTTCCCACCCCTCTTCTCAATGGAAAAGCACCAGGTTAAAGATGGATTCCAGTTCAGGTGACATGATCACATGTCACTGTAAGACTTCATTACCCTCTTGCCAGCACACAGTATACAGAAAGACTTACAAGTAAACAGATCCATCTACAGTCAGTTTTCCTGGTTAATGGGAGCCATCAAGATTCCAAACCACCATTAATGGCCCACACTTTGCATAACTACAATAGGACCTCAGAGTTATAATTCATATTTCTAGTTTCAGATACAAGAGTCATACATTTATACAAATAGGATGACCACACTCAGTAGATTATAAGCTTTGTAATGATACCTTACAAGAGACCTTTTGCATGAAGCATATTCCAGTTACATTATATTCACACTCATTAGCATATTTTTATAAAATCCTAGAGAGTGCAATGTCACACATGGGGACACTATAAAAGTGGCAATATCACTTGTTTTCACAGAGTTAAAGATCCTGTAACATTCAGATATGCCTCTGCCATTATTTCAGTGAGTATGCTATAAACATTACACTGGGGAGGAAATGAAGCTGGTGGTGTTCAAATTCCTGGGGTTTACAGCAGCTTCTCCTGTCTCTAAAGTGGGATTTTAGCTGCAGACTTGTTAGGTATAGGGATCTGCTGTTCAGGTATTAACAGAGAAGGGCATGATCACTTCTGCTTGCTTATGTGTTTCAAGGATGCTCTCAGAGTATCAATTAATGCATTTGGTATGTTTAGATTTTGTGCTGTGTTCTTGATCAAGCCCACTAAGTATAGTACTGAAAGGAAGAAAATTAACTTCAGATATAGTTTAAACGGAAGTGACCGATCGTGGCTGTATGCTTTATGTTTCAGAGTGAGTTTCTGTATGTAGAATTGCCCCCTTATCTCTGGGGCTCTGCTCTCTGAGCTCTCCTGGTAAGAGCTTTGCCTCATCTTTAAACCTACCCCATCCTCCAAGGGTTTGCTGATATGCTCACTTGGTTTGGCTGGGGTATCATCTTGTGGCTGAAACCTGTGAGGTTTTACCAGACCCCTACATCTACCTAACCTCTGAACTGCCCTTACTTCTGAAGCAAAACCCATTTGAGATGCAGAATCTAAAGCATAGGAAGTGGAGCTGGCTTTCCTGTACGACTGGAATGAAATCACTAGTCATGCTGGCAGTAAGGTGGGTACTCATGTTCCATTGCTGATTCTTGCCCAACCCTAGTGATTTGCTGAAACCTTAATTACTTATGAGCCTTCTCCTCAGTGGTTGCACTTTTAGTGTGCCCTGGAATTACCTACGGTCAAACAATGTGTATTTTCAGAGCCTAGCCAAAGTGCTCAGAGCTCTCTGCAACAGATTTCAGCTTTCCAGAGTCGATAAATATCTCTGGGAGGAGGTGGGTATTTGAAGGTTGGTTTCTTCAAGTGTGGAGAAATGGACCAAGAAAGCCGGAGCCTCTGGTGTTAGAGGTTAGCGTTTGGGCATTTGAATAGGGGCTGCAGAGGGTTAATGGGAGCACAATGAGTAAATTCTAATGGCTATGGAAAGTTCCAGAAAGCTATTGGGAGAGGTGGTGATGATATAAAAGAGAACAATTGGGTGGCACTTTAAATAGGAAAAATCAAAGAGAATTTCTTGGTGATCATTTGTAAATATCATTCTTAGAAACTCTCATGATAAACCGTTGCTTAAGAATTCAGCCTTTTTGCTATCTGAGAAGCAGAGTCAACAAGCTGGAAAGTTATTGCTTATCCCAAATCCAGTCACTGGAACAACGCTCTGAAGTCTGATCAGTGCTTTTTCTTTTTAGGTGGATTCTGAAGAACCTGTTTTTGAGGCAGTTATAAATTGGGTGAAACACTCAAAAAAGGAACGGGAGGACTCCTTGCCAGAGCTGCTGCAGTACGTGCGCATGCCGCTTCTTACCCCCCGCTACATCACAGATGTCATAGACACTGAGGTATAAACAGCACCGTGATCCTGTCATATAGAGAGGTTGAGTCCATATCATTATTCCTTTACATCCCATAGTTCAGTCCCCAAAATATCTCAATAGAACACATTGGGGACGCTTTCCACACTGTTTCCTTTCACTGATGGCCTATAATTAAGGCTACATTTTAGTCACAGGTATTTTTAGTAAAATTCATGGATCGGTCACATGACCCGTCCATGACTTTTACTATATATCCCTAACTAAAACTTGGGGCAGGGAGCTGTGGGGGCGCGGTCTGGGGGTGCTGTGGGCTCTGGGGGGGAGCGGGTGGGTGGCATGTTGCCCAGGACCTATGCAGGGTGGGGAGGGTTGGCGGGGCTGGCGGGCTCCTGGCTCCGACTAGCATGTCCCTGCAGCTCCTAGGGGGAGGGGCAGCCAGGGGGGCTCTGCATGCTGCTCCCGCCACAAGCGCTGGCTCCGCAGTTCCCATTAGCCGGGAACCCCAAGGTGCCATGCCTGTGGGCATGGGCAGCGTGCAGAGCCCCCTGGCCCCTCTGCCTAGGAGCTGTAGGGACATGCCGGTGGCAGCAGGGGAGCCCCCCCTGCCCGAGGTAAGCGCCGCCCTGCATTCCAAGCCCCAGCCCTGAGCCCCGTCCCACACACCCAAACTGCTGCTGCTGGCCCAGGGGCTTCCCGTCTTGGGCAGCCCCTGAGCCAGCACTGGACGCTGTAGAAGTCTCGAAGGTCACAGAAAGTCATAGCGTTATCCTTATCCAGCTGGAGATGCCTATTTGTGTTACCCTCACCGAGCAGGGCAGAATTTCCTGCAACAGACTACATTAGAATGGTTTCACTGGTGTAATGAAATTGATCTAAAACTAATTTTATTACCCTGATGCCAATCCCCAGCACAGACGTAGTTGAACTGGTTTAAATATTGCTTAAATTGGTTTATCTTAGTTTGGTAATTTACTCAGTCTTGTTTGTTCTTCCACAGTTAGGGAGCCCTGCAGTATCTGGCACTGTGCAGGTTTTTGGCCTTTTTTCATCTGTAGCACTTGCAGCCTTTCTCTGTTGCCAGTAGGTCATCATGCAAGTCAGAGTTTTAATGTCATTTAAATCCAGTGGAACTGGTTCTAATATGATTTGTTTTAAATTCCCTAGAAACAATCAAACATACAACATATGCATGTTTTTCCCCAGCCTTTTATACGGTGCAGTTTGCAGTGCAGAGACCTTGTAGATGAAGCTAAGAAATTCCACCTAAGGCCTGAGCTCCGGAGTCAGATGCAGGGACCCAGGACCAGAGCACGTCTAGGTGAGCAACAAAGGAAAGGACACTCAAGAGATTCTCTGGGACATTGCCAGGTATTGTATTTAGATGCTGTCTAGTGCCTTCTGACTGATGATCTCAGTGCTTCACAGATACTAACTCTCACAACCCTTTGGGAAACAAGTAATATTCCCATTGTACAGAGAGGGAAACTGAGAGAGAGAATGGAAGTGATTTGACTCAGAACAAACAGTAAATTTGTGGCAGAGCTGGGAATAGAGACCAGATCGCCTTAACTTCCGGTCCTGTGCTTTAGTGACAAGTTGTTGTCCCGCAGAGTTGTCCATGCTTCTAGACTGTATCCCAACGTGGTGGGATAGTTTCTTTCTACCCCTTTACCAGGATCATTAAAAACACCAGGGAGGTAGGAAGTGGAGAGATACCTCAGTGTTAAAGAGCAAAAATAAGCCCTTTGCCTCTCTTTGACACGTGCTTTAGCAAGCCCCATTCTTGCTTGAAGGTATGATCTGCCTTTCTGACAGGTCTGTGTAGTTGAGCTCAGTTGATTGCAATGTAGTTAGAGGTCAGTTGCTCTTGGCCTGCAGAAGCAGCATGCCAGTCCTTTTGCAGGGGAAAAATGCCTTTCATCTCTCTTGACAACTCCCACGAAGGAACTATTATAATCTAGTCTGACCTCCTGCATAACACACAGGCCATAGAATTTCACCCAGTTAACCCTGTATTCAGCCCAGTAACTTCTAGATGAGCCAGAACAGATCTTTTAGACTCATCATCATCTTGAGTCTATAAGATCATCAGATCTTTCAGTAAAAGACATTCTGATCTTGGTTTAAAGACTTCAAGTACTGGAGAATCCACCACATCCCTAGGTAAATTGCTCCACTGGTTAATTATCTGCATGGGCACGTGTATGCTTGATTGCTTGTGTCGATGCTGCGTGTACTGACCAGGAGTGCTTGTACTGATGCAAAGTGACTGCACCACAGGAAGTTATCCCAGTGTGCCACATACCACTGTCCAGTATGTGACAGACTGGGATAACTTTTGGGAAATTTTTGCAGTATGTTGTGGAATAGAAATGACTCAGCCAGGGACTTATGTTCTCAGCATGCAACCGTCTCCATCCCATAATGCCATCCATATCCATAATTAAAAAAAAAAAAGTCACAAACACATGCAACACTTTTCGGTGTCACCATCTCTGACAGGAGCATGGTGCCCACAGAGCTCTGCACTATTCTCATGAACATTGCAAATACAGGACAGTTGATTCTCCTGTATTTGCAGACCCACGAGAAGTATCATAACAACCGGGGATATAGCTGAGGGACATAGCGAAAAAGAATTCCTGGTTGTTGGTGGCATTCACAGAGCAGCTGAAGACGGTGGAGTGCTGCTTCTGGGCCTGAGAAACAAGCACTGACTGGTGGGTTAGCATGGTTGAGGAGGATAAAAGTCTCAGGGAAGGAGAACATCCAACTGGAGCAGAAAGAAATGATCCCATAGTTGGGACCCTCCTTCTGGATGATGTCATGGTATCCTCTTCCACCGAGGACCTCTCCATGGGAGGGAACTCCAGTTATTAAGAAGAGACAGGTAATGGTTATGTGGGATTCAGTCATTAGAAACATAGATAGCTGGGTTTGTGATGACCGGAAGAACCACATGGTGACTTGCATGCCTGGTGTGAAGGTTGTGGATCTCTTGACACATCTAGATAGACTTATGTGTAGTGCTGGGGGGAGCCGGTGGTCGTATTACATGTAGGTACCAATGACATAGAGAAGGATAGGAGAGAGGTCCTGGAGGCCAAATTTAGGCTGCTAGGTAAGAGAGTGAAGTCCAGGACCTCCAAGATAGTATTCTCTGAAATGCTTCCAGTTCCATGCACAGACAGAACTGCAGGGTCTCAATGCATGGATGAGATGATGGTATATGGAGGAGGGGTTTAGATGTATTAGGAACTGGGGCACCATTGGGAAAGGGGAGCCTATACAGGAAGGATAGGCTCCACCTAAACCAAAATGGAACCAGATTGCTAAAATTAAAATTAGACTTAAAAAGATCATAATTAAAAAGCAGTTTTTAAACTAAGGGCTGGGGGAAAGCGGACAGGTGCGGAAGAGCGCATGGTTCGGACAGAGACATCCCTTAGGGGAGGATCTATTACTGGAGATTCGCTACGTCCTAGTAAGGAGAAGAGGATGGAAGATGATAAAATGCGGGTGGGATCTGATGAGAAACAGTCATAAGGTTCCCATTCAATTACATCATGTAAGGCAGACAGCTAAAAAGTGACAATTTTTTTTAAGTGCTTATATACAAATGCTAGAAGTCTAAATAATAATAAGGGTGAACTAGAGTGCCTCATATTAAATGAGGATATTGATACAATAGGCATCAGAGAAACTTGGTGGAATGAGGATAATCAGTGGGACACAGGAATACCAGGATACAAATATATCAGAAGGACAGAAAATGTGTCCTTGTGTTCTGATGTGCAGAAAGAATAGCAAATATGGCGGGCAACCAGCTTGACTTAACAGACAAATCTTCAGGGAGCTTAAACACAGAAAGGAAGCTTACAAAAACTGGAAACTTGGACAGATGACTAGGGAGGAGTATAAAAATATTACTCGAGCATACAGGGGTGTAATCAGGAAGGCCAAAGCACAATTGGAATTGCAGCTAGCAAGGGATATGAAGGGTAACAAGAAGGGTTTCTACAGGTATGTTAGCAACAAGAAGGTGGCCAGGGAAAGTGTGGGACCCTCACTGAATGGGAGAGGCAACCTAGTGACAGATGCTGTGGAAAAAGCTGAAGTACTCAATGCTTTATTTTTGCCTCGGTCTTCACAGACAAGGTCAGCTCCCAGATTGCTGCACTGGGCAGCACAGTATGGGGAGGAGGTGAGCAGCCCTCAGAAGTGAAAGAACAGGTGAAGGACTATTTAGAAAAGCTGGACATGCACAAGTCCATGGGTACAGATCTAATGTATCCGAGGATGCTGAGGGAGTTGGCTGATGTGATTGCAGAGCCATTGGCCATTATCTTTGAAAACTTGTGGCAATTGGAGAGGTCCTGGACAATTGGAAAAAGGCAAATGTAGTGCAAATCTTTTAAAAAGGGAAGAAGGAGATTCTGGGGAACTTCAATCCCCGGAAACATCATGGAGCAGGTCCTCGAGGAATCCATTTTGAAGCACTTGGAGGAGAGAAAGGTGATCAGGAACAGTTAACATGGATTCACCAAGGGCAAGTCATGCCTGACTAACCTGATTGCCTTCTATGATGAGATAACTGGCTCTGCGGATATGGACGTGATATACCTTGACTTTAGCAAAGTTTTTGATATGGTCTCCCACAGTATTCTTGCCAGCAAGTTAAAAAAGTATGGCTTGGATGAATGGACTATAAGGTGGATAGAAAGCTGGCTAGATCATCGGGCTCAATGGATAGTGATCAATGGCGCGATGTCTAGTTGGCAGCTGGTATCAAGCGGAGTGCTCCAGGGGTCAGGTTTGTTCAATATCTTCATTAATGATCTGGATGATGGGATGGATTGCACCCTCAGCAAGTTTGCAGATGACACTAAGATGGGGGGAGAAGTAGAAGTAGATACGTTGGAGGGAAGGATAGGGTCCAGAGTGACCTAGACAAATTGGAGGATTGGGCCAAAAGAAATCTGATGAGGTTCAACAAGGACAAGTGCAGAGTCCTGCACTTAGGACGGAAGAATCCCATGCACTGCTACAGGCTGGGGACTGACTGGCTAAGCTGCAGTTCTGCAGAAAAGGACCTGGGGATTACAGTGGACGAGAAGCTGGATATGAGTCAACACTGTGCCCTTGTTGCCAAGAAGGCTAATGGCATATTGGGCTGCATTAGTAGGAGCATTGCTAGGAGATGGAGGGAAGGGATTATTCCGATCTATTCGGCACTGGTGAGGCCACATCTGGAGTATCGTGTCCAGTTTTGGGCCCTCCACTACAGAAAGGATGTGGACAAATTGGAGAGAATGCAGTGGAGGGCAACGAAAATTATTAGGGGGCTGGGGCACATGACTTGTGAGGAGAGGCTGAGGGGACTGGGCTTATTTAGTCTGTGGAAGAGAAGAATGAGGGGGGATTTGATAGCAGCCTTCAACTACTTGAAGGGGGTTCCAAAGAGGATGGAGCGAGGCTGTTTTCAGTGGTGGCAGATGACAGAACAACAAGCAATGGTCTCAAGTTTCAGTGGGGGAGTTCTAGGTTGGATATTAGGAAACACTATTTCACTAGGAGGGTGGTGAAGCACTGGAATGGTTACCTAGGGAGGTGGTGGAATCTCCATCCTTAGAGGTTTTTAAGGCCTGGCTTGACAAAGCCATGGCTGGGATGATTTAGTTGGGGTTGGTCCTGCTTTGAGAAGGGCTTTGGACTAGATGACTTCCTGAGGTCTCTTCCAACTCTAATGTTCTATGATTCTATGACTCTGTGATTCTATGACGTGATCGTGCCGCTCTATTCGACATTTGTGAGGCCTCATCTGGAGTACTGTGTCCAGTTTTGGGCCCCACACGACAAGAAGGATGTGGAAAAATTGGAGAGAGTCCAGCGGAGGGCAACAAAAACGAAAATCAGACAGAAACGAGATAGAGCTCTGTGGAGCTTTGGGATATAATACATAGTTCAAAATCATTTGCTTGTTTACATAGTTTTAAGGTGACTGCAAAGGAAAGAAATAGTTTGATTTTTTTTTTCCTTCTCTTTGATGTAGAAGGAAGGATTAGGCAGAATATTTAGGATTTTTTCTTTTCAGGGCTTGGCTATTCCTGTTTTACTTGGCAGTATTATGGAAAACTGGGGAAGTAGTAGGATGATGATCTTATGAGTAGCAAGGAGGTGAAACTGGGCAACTGAGTGGGGGAACATATTTTGAAACGATTACACTGTTCTTTGATGTATTTATTTACTTAAACTCCTGACAAACATTGGAGAGAAAATAAGCTTCCTTGTTAAAGATCCAGCACTGCTCCCCTTTAAGTAGGGGCTTAACAGGCTCCCATTCCAGTAGTCTGGGCCTCCAAGAGACCTCCAGAAAAAATGGAAGAGGAAACGTGATATTCTTGATATTTCTAAGCTAAACAGAACAGGCAGGAAAAATCCTTTCGGGCCTTCCTTATGCATGATAAAGAAGCAAAAAGGGCACTGAATTCTTTTCTTTCCTTTATAGGAGAAATATTCAACACAATTAACTTCATGGTCACTTGAAAATTACTTTATTTGGATTTTAATATTTTCAGAAAATAGTTCTTCCCCCAAATCATCCCTTCTACCTTTAATTATGAATATTTTGTAGCTGACTTGCTTCCTTCCTTCAGGATAGGTCTCCCACTGTGCTTCAGTGGGGTAGCTAGATAGGTACAGCAGCAACTGTGGTTGCATGAGGAGGGTATAGGGCATTCACAGTAAAATGGTGAATGAGGGAGGGTGCTCTCTCTGGCCTGCATCTGAGGGGTAGCTTAGATGATGAGAAAGGAGAACAATTCTTGTGAGAATAAGCTAGGAGGAGCATGCACCGTCCACCAGCCGCTTTGAGGTGTGGGGAAGGCTGAATATTGTCTGTCTGGAGCGGGGAGGGAGACAGAGCAGTGACAGCAATATTCAGTTAAAGAGGCAGCTGTGCCCCATCATTCCTGGCACAGACCATCCCTCCAGGATGGATCCAAAAGCTTCTTTAAAGGTGACCCTTTGGTGGCAGAGGAATTAACTTGACTCTGGTCTTTTTTTCTACAGGGGCTAACGAGGTTCTGCTAGTGATTGGAGGCTTTGGCAGTCAGCAGTCACCTATTGACGTGGTGGAAAAATATGACCCAAAGACTCAGGAGTGGAGTTTCTTGCCAGTAAGGAATCATCTGCTTTACTACATTTTTCACCATGAGTGGGTCCTGCAAATGTAATGGATCAAAATACTGATAGGTCTAAACATTCTGATAAGGGATAATTGCTTAGTGTTCCCCTTACGGACTGTCCATTCTCTTCCGCTTAGAATTGGAGCTTTATGTTCAGAGGGACTGCTGAGATTTAGATGTTGCCAGAAATGTTAATGATTTAGCATGCTTCCTCTGCTTGACTGAGATGTGCACCGGTGCCCCAACTCAGTACTAAGGGCTCTTTTAGGTGAGATACTAAATTTAGATCCCAAGCTCTTATGGCAGTTAAAAATTCCCCTGAAACTTTTTGCAAGGGTTTGTATGAGTTTCTGTGTTCTGGCCAGATTCCAGCTTGGATGACTGTAATCTACCTCCTTAAATTACGACTGAAGTTAGATTCAGTATTCTCCATTTCCTCTCCTAAGCTGTTGTGTAGTGTTGCTATTAGCTGTTAAACAGCTGCCAAGTTCTATCCAGAGGACGCTGTATTTCAGTGGTGAAATGATGCTATTGTATAAACAGTGTATAATAAATGAGTGAAGTTGGTAGAGCACAGTAAGATCTGTGGAGAAAAGATGCCACTAATTGATGGTCGTTAGTCTTAATATTGATAACATAGACATATCAGGTTTTTTGGAAAGATTAATTAAAATATTATCTCAGGAAATATACGTTGAGAAAAATGTCTTACTTCATAGATCAATAGATATCAAAGCCAGAAGGAACCACTGCTGTAGATCTGCCCCAAAATAATTCCTAGAGCAGATCTTTTAGGAAAACATCCAATCTTGATTTTAAAATGGTCAGTGATGGAGAATCCACCATAATACTCAGTAAGTTGTTCCAATGGTTAATTACTCTTGCAGTCAAACATTTACACCTTGTTTTCAGTCTAAATTTTCTCTAGTTTCAACTTTCAGCCATTGGATTGTGTTTTACCTTTCTCTACTAGATTGAAGAGCCCGTTCTTCTTCGAGATGAGTGTCCCTGTGGGTGCGCCTTCGCTCAGAGATTTTTACAGCAGTACTCGCATAGGCCATGCATGCACGGTGCCTGCCTCACGCACCTGCCATGTCTCAATAGCATGCGTGCGCGGCCGGTCTCCTCAATTCCTTCTCTACCATCCCCAGCCTGAGACAGAGCTCAGCAGTCACTGAAAAACTTCTTTGCTTTTAGCTAGTCTAGTTAGTTTTACACATTTTTACCATGTATTTAGTTAGATAAGTTTTATTTTTCCTTTCCCAGTCCCTCAAAAAAAAAACTAACCAAAAAAAAATCCAGTTTTTTCTTCCTTCCTGTTTTTCTTGTCAGTTAGTTCATAATATGACTGGCTCACAAGGTTTTACGTGCTGCACTGCATGCAGAGACGCCATCCCTATTTCAGATGGCCACTCTCAATGTGTTGGCTGCTTGGGGGAGTCCAACGTCCCCCGGAAATGTATCCACTGTAGTAAATTAAAAGCTAGGGCACGAAAAGACAGAGACCTCAGGCTCAAGCTAATATTAATGGAGAAGTCCCTCGGACCTGCCTCCGACCCGGGTGCAGTTTCCTCATCGAGACAAAGCCCTCCTAGGTCAGCAAAAGATTAAAAAAACAGCAAAAAACTGACCACGTGCCTCGCCTCACAAAGACTTACCGCTTCCCAAACGATCTTCGAGCGGGTCTGTCTCCTCAGTGCCAACCACTCCACGGCTCAGCACATATGAAGCGCCGGGCACCTCTGGCACCGCACGTACCCCGGCTGCTTCTGAGGCACACCAAGGCTTCAGGCTTAAAGTTGCCTCTTCTCATGCAGCACCGTGAAAGACCCAGTGCTGCCTCAACTGAGCCTGCTTGTGTCACAGCCTAGTGTGGTTGCTACTGTGGCACTGGCACCTCACGTCCCTACGCCTGCCTCTATGGCACAGTGGCATTCGGCACCACCCAACCCCAAGACACCGCAATTGCAGCTAACAGAATGCACTGGCTGCAAACACTGCAGCACCGCAGTTGGTTCATTCAGGGGTTTTACTGGTGTTACCGACCCTACAATCCCCCCTGCTTGATACTGATCCTTCACCAGACCTCTCAACACGGCCCCGACAGCTATCTCCTATTCCCTCTCACTTCTCTAGTTATGAGGATGCCGATGTTCAGGGAGGTTTTTCACCATACCATTCCTCCCAACTCCAGACCCCAGTCAGCAGGGGACACAGGAGATTCAAGGTCTTCATACTCCAAGGACCTACCACCCTGGTATGCACACCCATGGATGGGACCACCCGTGCCATTCCCCAGACAGTGGCGTTACTGGGGCCCCTGGGGATCATACAGGAAACACCATGGTGACCGACACAGCCCCAGAAGAGGTGACACCACATCTCCTCTTGAACATGTGCATACATCTGTGACTGAACTACGGGAACAGCCTGCAGTGCTGCATGCAGAAGAAGAGGCTTCTGACACCTTTCCAAACAGCATTAACCTGTCATCCCCACCTCCAACAACAGCGGATGATTTTTCTTATTCTCAGGATCTCTTCGAAAGAGTGGCTAATGAATTTAAGATTACCCTGGAGGAAGTACCCAAAAATCAGCGTGAGCTGCCCAACATCCTGCAACCTTCCAGTGCATCTAAGATTGCCCTCCTATTAATGGAGCCATTATGGACGCTGCCAAGAATATCTAGCAAACACCAGCCACTATAACCCCTACCTGCAAGTGAGCAGACCGGAAATACTATGTCCCTTCCAAGGGCTCGGAGTTCCTTTTCATACACTGAGCACCCAATTTGCTGGTAGTTGAAGCAGCTAACCAAAGGAACAAACAGCATCTCCTGTTCACCCCTTTTGACAAAGACAGTAAAAGGTTGGACCTACTCAGTCAGAAAGTGTGTGTCATGCACACTACAATTCAGGGTGGCTAATTACATGGCCCTATTGGCCAAATGTTACCACAGAAACGACAGGAAACTCATGGACTTTATTACCGATATTCTTGAGGACAAGAGACAACAATTCAAACCTGTAGTTCTGAGGGGCTCTGCGACAGCAGTCGTGATGCGTTGAGCCTCATGGTTTACATCTTCTTTCCCACATGAGATTCAGAATACCTGTGGAAGATCTCCCCTTCGATGGAGACAAATTATTTGCCACAAAGACCAACAAAGTGTTGCATACCATGAAGGATTCCAGAGCGACATTCAGGTCCCTAGGCATCCATACACCATCGACTAGAACAGGGACGGGCAAACTTTTTGGCCTGAGGGCCACATCGGGTTTCTGAAATTGTGTGGAGGGCCAGTTAGGGGAGGCTGTGCCTCCCCAAACAGCCAGGCATGGCCCGGCCACATTGATTCCTACCCAACAACTGGAGTTCATAGGTGCACACCTCGATTCATTAACGGAACTCACATCTCTCCCACTCGACAGATTCAACACCATAAGAAATCTGATCGCCAAGTTGCGGAACAGCCCTCAGGTCACTGCCTGTGACTGCCTGCAACTTCTGGGCCATATGGCCTCTTGTACTTCTGTGGTCAGAGAAACACGCCTCTACATGCGGTGCTTCCACAGCTGGATGACCACTGTCTACAGGCCAAACGTACACGGTCTAAACAGACTTCTGTCTATCCCTACCAAAGTCAAGGACTCACTCATATGATGGACCCTTCCACACAATCTCTGATCCGGAGTCTCATTCCTACAGGACTCCCCCTTCATTATAATTACTATAGACACACCCCTCACTGGCTGGGGAGCACACATAGGGTATCATACCACTGAGGGACTTTGGTCCCCTACCGAAGCTTCTTTACACATAAACCTTCCAGAACTCCGAGCAGTGTGCAACGCTTGCCTCCAATTCCTCCCCCTTCATCAAAAACCAAAACATCAGGATCATGACTGACAACATCGCCTGCATGTTTTTTATAGAGAGACAAGAGGGAGCTCGATCCCACTCTCTTTGCACCGAAGCTGTGAAGCTCAATATCCAACTCAATATCCAGATTTCAGCTTCTTACCTATCCGGTTCTTTAAACACTACCATGGATGAGCTCAGCAGAGCATTTCCCCTAGAACACTTATGAGAGATAAACAAGATCATCTTACACAACATATTCAAAATATGGGGCTACCCGAAACTGGACGTTTTTGCAACTGCAAAACCAAGTATCTGGAATCCCGCTCCAGAGCAGGCCTAGGGAAACACTCCTTAGGGGACGCGTTCATGATCCAATGGAGTGGCAAATTACTGTATGCATTCCCCTCGATGCCACTTCTACACAGTGTGGCTCAAAATACAGACAGACTGTGCCAGGGTCATACTAATAGCCGCTAAGTGGCCCAGGCAGGCGTGGTACACTTTTCTTACCAGGATGTCCATTTGTCCGCTGATTCTGCTGCCCCTTCTTCCAAACCTATTATCACAGCAAAGCAGTCGACTACACCACCCCTGCCTACACCTCAAAGCATAGCTCCTCACTGGTTCTTCAATGAGGAATGTGATGGGGCAAGGCCAGATGGCTATAGAAAAGTAGTGGGAGATAGATATATTAGCTCCAGGCTAAACAAATCCCTGGTACGAGGATAAGTTAAATGGCAGGTGCTCCAGGTCAATTAAGACACCTGGGGCCAATTAAGAACTTTCCAGAAGGCAGGGAGAATGCTCGGTTGATTGGGACACCTGAAGCCAATCAGGGGCTGGCTGAAACTAGTTAAAAGCCTCCCAGTCAGTCAGGTGGGTGTGCATGTCAGGAGCTGTGGGAGGAAGTTGCGCTGTTGGAGAGGCTGAGCAGTACACACCATATCAGGCACAAGGAAGGAGGCCCTGAGGTAAGAGTAAAGGGGAGCTTGAGGAAGTGAGGGCTGCTGTGGGGGAAGTAGCCCAGGGAATAGTACATCATGTTTCTAAAAGGTCAGCTACCATAGTTGATACTATTAGGGTCCCTGGGCTGGAGCCTGGAGTAGAGGGCGGGCCCAGGCCCGGGC